TACTGTTCTTTCACACAGCATTCTCAGCCTTGTCGCCGCTCGTCCTAGCTCTGCTCGCTTCCATCGCGGCAATGGACGGCGGCTTCTCGTTGTCCTGGTGGTGGCTGGTGTGTCCATTGCTCAGCGGCGCAGGCGCCAGGTCCTCCTCATCAGGCTCGTCGGCGGGCGCGGCGAAAGTCGGGGCGTACGCAGACTTGGCGCGGATCTTGTGGCCCCAAATGTAGAAGATGACGGGGATTGGCACGAGGGCGATGGCGACGCAGCCCAGCAAGGTCGAGGCCCACTGGATGCCCATGCCGTTGAACATGTAGCTCGCGAACAGCGGGAAGCCGGCGCCGCAGAGGGAGCGGAGGAAGGTGTTGCCGGCGATGGCGGAGGCGGCAAACATGAGGTAGGCGTCGACGAGGTAGTTGAGGGCCTGGAGGAAGATGGACATGAGGCCGAAGCCGGTGAAGAGGCCGCTGAGGGTGGGCACGATCCAGTGGACGTCGGCGCGGTAGCCGGACCAGCCGAACCAGAAGATGCCGATGGCGAAGAAGACGCCGCCGGCGATGACGCTGGGGAGACGCCACTCGGGGATGGGCACGCCGTTGTTGGCCTTGAGCTTGCGGAGGTACCACGGCTGCTGGAGGAGAACGGTGACGCCGGCGATGAGCTGGCCAGTGATCATGCCGAAGAAGGTGAGACCTGACTGGCCCGCGCCGAAGCCGTGAACGCCGCGGAAGACGAAGGGGTAGGCGGTGAGGAAGAGGTAGAGCAGGCCGTAGATGAAGGCCATGTAGACGGACAAGGCGGTGACGATGGGCTCGCCAAAGAGGAGGCGCATGGGGCGGGAAAAGTTCTTGTTGACGAGCTCCTTAAAGTCGATTTCGATTTCCTCCTGCTTGGCGTGGATGCCCCAGTTGCGGGTGCGGCGGCGCAGCTCCGAGGCCTTGCTGACGAGGATGACGGGCGGGTACGTTTCCTCGAGGAAGAAGAGGTCGAGGAAGAAGGCGAGGAAGCCCATGAAGGAGGGGATGTACTCGGTCCAGCGCCAGCCGAGGTGCGACTCGACGATGAAGCCGCCGATAAAGGGCGCCAGGAGTGGGCCGGTGAAGACGGCCATGGAGAAGACGGTGATGGCGGTGCCGCGGGTGCGGTTGTCAAACATGTCGGAGAAGACAGCGGCGACGACGGCCAGGGGGCACGCGCCGAAAAAGCCGGCGAAGAAGCGGCATATCAAGATGGTCTGGAGGTCCTTGGCGACGGCGCAGCTGATTGTGAAGATGGAGAAGCCAAACATGGAGAGGACGAGGGGTAGTCGGCGGCCCCTCAGCTCGGAAAGGGGCGCCCAGAGTGTTGGGCCGAAGGCGAAGCCAAGGACGTAAAAGGAGACGCCGAGGGTGCCGACAGTCGCGGAGACGTTGTATTCTGTCGCGATGACTTGCGTCGCTGCTGAAAAGATACTCGAGGTGAAAGCCGACGTCATCGTGGTGTAGCCAAGCATTGCGGCTGTAAGCAACCTGCGAGCCAAGACATGTCAGTCACCAGCGCCCCCTAGCCATATTTCACCGAAACTCGACAATTGGCATTGGCGAACTTACTTCTTCTTAATCGGCCAGTTCTGCGCGTGCAGAGGATCTTCAGGGCCATCAAATTCCACAACGTAGTCCTCCTGCTCCGGCAAAGGTGGCGGGTACGGCTTGCCTGCGCCCATGGCCGGCAGAGGCCTCCTCGACTCCCTGCTCTTGATGCTGCGGCCGACGGTGTTGGAGTGCTGGCTGCGGGCAGTGGCAATGCGGCTCAGGGCCGTCGGGTGACGCTCGAGGTCATTTTGGGTCGAGACGCGGCTGATGCCGGTGCCGGTGCGATACGCGGCGGTGCGGTCGCCCGTGTGCGAGGCCGTGGATGAGGAGGTTGAGGAAGAGGAGGCGGAGAGGACCCGTTCGATCTCGTGGCTTTCGCGGCCGTGGTAGCGGTTTGGAGAGGCGGCGCGCTCGGCGTCCGCGATTTCGCGGTCGACTTCGTCCATTGCCATTGTTGGACGAGGTCGCTATGTGCGGGCTGGGTGTTGATTTGGATGTTGTTTTGAGATGCTGATGCTGGCTATAGATGGTTCAACAAAGTGAAGAACGGATCAGGGTGTCTCGCGACAGATTGGGCAGTATGTATATAACGCCAATGGCTAGAGACTTTTCTTGGGCGCGGAGAATGGGAGCAAAGAGCTCATGCAATGGTGCGTTGTGCTGACAGGTAGCTTGGAGCTATTGTGAAGGCGGCGCGCCGAGCTAGCTACGTCAATCTAGTGTAATGTGGAATAAAGGGTCGGTGATATGATGTAGGGCCGTCTCCCGATGCAATGTAAGCGCCAGTCAGATTCGGGGGAGCTCTAGATCGGAGACAATTGCAGGAAGTGCTCGTGGATGTATTCGCAGTGGGGGGTATGACTGGAGATGCTAGATACGCGATCGGACAAGTTGGGTGGTCCCTTCGTCTTATGAACAATGAATTTGTCTGGGCGTTGTCTGAAGATCCAGAGATATATGAGAGGGATGGGGGGAAGGCGAAAGATCGGTTCAGATGAAGAAGCAGTGTATTAGTGAGGAAGTGGGTTCGAGGTTGTGAGAGAGTGGGTTAGGAAGCGGACTATAGATGCGCAAAGGCCGAGGGCGAAGTACTATGTATGGAGATAGTCACATAGGAAGACGGAGCAAAACGAGGATGGAGAAGAAAAAAAATCAGATTTGTCAAGTCAGGTATGAATGACTCTGTTCTCAGCTGATGGATGGGAGCCGGTACATCTCCCGGGTGACCAAGCCAAGGGGGAAAGAATGTCGGGTGCGAGTACTTGAATACCACAATACCTGGGTCGGTACGGTAAGGTAGCAAATGGGGTCGGCAAAGTCCCACTTGGGGAGGCCTAAAGAAAGAGGGATCCATGGAAAATCCACGGGCGCAACATGCCTGCTGAGATTTCCTTCTTTGCTGTGCAAGTTTTGCTTGCGCGCCCATTGCCCATACAAAAACTTCGGCTAGGAGTTCGGCATCACAAAAAGAAAAGCGCGAACGACACGAGCCCGAGTGGGAAGAAGGGTGTGGCCCAGGCACACACGCCGCACACTGCAGAAAGGAGGAAAGACAACCTGGAATGTGGGCCCGGACGGGGCCGGAGGCGGTAGCCGGCACTGCAACCTGGGAATTCTCTACTTCTTGGTGGTGATGGAACCCAGCCGAGGGATGGGCAAGGTGGGGTTCCCATCTTGGCCTTTTTGGTTTGTCAGTGTCGCAGCTTTTTTTCTTCTCTCCTTCTATGCAGCCGTTCGTACCTTACCCTTCCTTGACCCGATCCTGCACGATCGATAGGGCCCAGGGAGGCAGTGTTGTTACAAATTCGACATGTTGCACGATCTTTCTTACAAATGCGGTTCGTTCTTAGTCACTTACCAAAGTTTAATGTACCTATAGACAGACGCATACATGCAAGCAGCAAAACAGAGAATGAGAGGAGACCATGGATTAGACTTCCGTCATCCAATAAGGCTACCAACTTCAATCCATCCGGGAAGGAACACTCAATCGAACTTTTCGCAGAGTTTCTGCACACCCACAGTCCTCCGGATGGCTCGAGCAGAGCACTACCGACCTTACTCCGTAGAGTACACAGCAAATCAGAGTTTGCCATGATCTTCCTCAACCGCGCCCTAAACCATCAAGCCAATTAACTAGAGTTTTTGCTAACCGGTCGGATCCGACGAAAAAAATCATGGGACATACGCAGGAGGAGAAAGGTTAACACCGGGTATGATGTCACTGGGGCTGGACAGTCTGGACTTAAGCCTATCCGAAGGCGCGGTGCCTCCGAGAGAGAGAGGAATGGCGACGGTTGTATCCGTACGGTAAGAAAGGAAAATTGTCTATCACGGTAATGATTGGCTCCACCTAAGGTAGTGTCAATTCGTTACCAATTGTCAAGAGTTCACATTCCCGTCACCCATTGACATATTCTCTCGCTATTCTCCCCCCCCTTCGGCCCCGCGCCTTTTCGGAACCATCCTATGCACTGCTTTAGTCATCAGCCTTAAACGTCACCTTGCGTCTGCCACTTTTTCCCTGCAGCACTGACTAGACAAAACGTGCACAAACGCCACGGCATCCCCGGCCGTGTGCATCCAACTGTTCGGCGTCTGTCGGTGTCTAGAACGCCGTATGGCTACCTTCATCGACGTTGTCGACGTCGCGCGTGGGATACTTGGAAATTCCACGAGAAAACGCTGCAAGACGGTCACAGGATAAAAATCATAGAATGGGCAGCAACCACACACATGAAATAATCACAATAAAAAGAAAACCCTAGCCAACCACAAAAAGGAAGGGGAATAACGGATTTACGGGGAGATTACATGTCCCCTTCAGGCTTCAGGATGATGATCGTGGGTCCTGACTCCCTACATCCACCCGATCTATCTCATTTTCAACACAAGCTGACAAGTTCATCCACAATTTTCCACGGGCCGCGGTCTTCGGCCGTTATTGTAGACCCTCTCGCCGAATGCCCAACCCAGAGCGACAGCCCAATGCCGCTTCTTGCCGCCTCCTAAGTTTCCGCCCTCCAAAGCTCCTTCAGTGACAGTCCAGGGCAGGAAGAAATAAGAGGGTAAAAAATATCCCGAACGAGCTGGTTTCTCCACTCACACTTGGCAGTCGACGCAACGATCAAAGCGTTCCAGAAAGGTCTAGAATGCTTCATCGCCCCTCCCTTTCTATCCGTACCTACTTTACTGTAGGTAATCTACGGAGTACATCTGAATTTTCCTTCTAGCCATACCGATCTAATTAGTATCCGTACAGCAAAGATCATTGTAGTGTAATTGGCTGTTTTGATTCGCTATTGTCATCTAAGATATGTAAAATACCAGGGCACATCCCACCCCTCTAGGTAGAAAAAATCAAGGATCCCCATATGCACAATTGCACACCATGGGCACCATGCAGCATGCCAGGGGGTCGCCGGCAATTCGAGGCTATCGTCGGACGCCCCATCCGTTCTCTAGCAGATTCGTCGCCTCCTCGAGACTCAACCCCGACGTCTCGGGGTAGATGCGCCAGATGAGCCCGTACCCAACTAGACACACGAGCGCGTAGAGCACAAATGTCCACGATGGGCTCAGAGCGTCCATGAGTGGGAGGAACGTCAGGCCGACGACGAAATTGGCGCCCCAGTTGGTCGCCGTCGAGACGCCGCTGCCAATCGACCGTACCGCGAGCGGGAACAGCTCGCTCTGCATCCAGGGGACGTTGCCCAGACCCAGCGCGTACGCCGCGACGTAGCCCATGATGCTGACGAGGATCAGCACCGCCGCGCCCCTGTCCGTGCCCGCTCCCTCGCCGGTACCGCCCTCCGAGGCTGCCGCCGTTTCGGGCCGCAGGTCGACAAAGGAGAAGCCGTATGCCGAGAGCATCAGGCCCGCAATCATAAACGGCAGGGAGTAGAGCAGGATCTTGCGTCGGCCGATGCGGTCGATGAGGCACAGCGCCGCGACCGTGAAGATGAAGTTTGTGACGGCGACGCTCATGGCGGTGAGGGTGGGCGTGCCGAACCCCACCATCTTGAAAATGGTCGCCGAGAAATACATGAGCGAGTTGAAACCGCACAGTTGCTGGAGGCCCTGGAGCAGGCAGGTGATGACCAGCGCGCGCTTGTTTCTCCCGACGGAGAACAGCTCCTGCCAGCCTCCCCACCACTCCATGCGCGGCGAACCCTCACGCCTCATGACCTCCCTCTCCTCCCTGATCTCAATCTCAATCTCCTTGATGACCGCCTCGGCGTTCCTCATGCCGCCGACCGTATTTCCCAGCACCCTCTCGACGACCTTCTTGGCCTTGAGCGACTGGCCCACCATAACGAGCCAGCGCGGGGACTCGGGCATGAGGGCGAGGATCGAGCACTGCAGCGCCGCGGGGAGCGCCCCGAGACCGACCATCCAGCGCCACCCCGTCGACTGGTCACCGTACTCGGCGAACGCCCAGCCGATGATGTAGGCGACTACCTGACCCAGCGTGATGAAAAGGACGTTCATCGTCACGAGCCGGCCGCGGTGGCTAGCGGGCGCCAGCTCGGCGATGTACAGGGGCACGACGAAGCTGGCGGCGCCGACAGCCAGGCCGACGATGGATCGCCCAATGACCATGGAGGTGACGGTGCCGGCCCAGGCCTGCATCAGGGCGCCGAGGATGAAGAGGATGTCGGCGACGAAGATGACGCGCTTGCGGCCCAGCGCGTCGGCGACGATGGAGGAAAAGGGGGAGACGAGAAGGGCGAAGAGGGCGGTGCTGGAAGTGATGATGGACTTGTCGAATGTCGTTAGGACTCGGTTCGATAGGGAGGTGTCGATCTTGACGAGCGTTGCTGATATTACGCCCGTATCATCTGCGCAAAGGGGTTTAGCATTTGCCTATTCTTCTTGTCTCATGAACGGTAGAATTGGGGGGGCGCCGAGACTCACATCCAAAGAGCAATCCACTGATGCCGGCAGCAAATGTGAGAAGCCATACGAAAAGACTCGGGCCCGATTGGCGTGCATGCTTCATGGACGCTGGTAGCACATCGGCCTCCTCTTCCGCGTCCCGGTAGTCAAGCTCGTCGTCTCGGTCCTGTCGGCCGGCCATCAGCGGAGCATCGATTGAGTCGGGCATTTTGGCGGTAGATCCACGCCAAAAAGGTTAGTGTTTGGGGGTGTGCGTGTGTGTCCTGTCTGTCGGGTCTTTATTTTATCATTAAACCTGTCGCAAAGTGTCGAAGAGAATGCAAAGGAGAATCTGAAAATGCCTTTCAAGAGGCCATGCTGCGGAGTGCGTCTCGGCACCGTCGGTCGAAGGCGAATGGAGGATGGGAGGCGTAAAAGGGTAGGTGATGGCGATGCTCCGAGATTCCCTAACAGCGGGATGCCAGCCACGTTACGTGTTTAGAGTTGAGATGTCGTAGCCTCAAGTCCTCCCTGGGTCCGGAAGCTTGGGGCTTTGCGGGGCACTTTGTCACCCGGGCCCCATGCACCCGCCAACTGTTTCGGGGATACTTTGGTGGTATATGTGATGCGGGCACCGTGACAAAGTATCATCTTATCTCACGGGCCAGGCGGGGAGGGCCGCATCTATCGCCCGAACCAGTCAGCTTCAACACTCCGCGAATCCGAAACTCGGCAGCTGTTCACCGCCCTCCACCGCGAAGCACTGATCATTTGCGCAGCGGAATGAGGAGCCGCTCAGACGTCGTCATTTTTGGGATAACCGAGTGAGTCTCTTGGAGTGCTGTGGCTTTGTGTGGGGGTTGTTATAGATACCAGGTTCTGTAAAGGGGAAATTGCGACAATTTCAATTCAGAAAATGAAGCTGGTGTAGGACGGCGGAGCTGGGACTGCGAAAGGGACCTTGGACAGGACTCATGACCAGACCAGGGCCCATAACTCTAGATTTTGGATTAAACGCAGAGTTGCAAAGTTTCAACGTTGGTTTGTCGCCGTGCCCTTTGCTCGGCAGACACATCCGCAACCTGGGACGAGTCGAGATGTAGGCAAGTAAGGTCTATAGGAAACGTGCTTTACGTACCTTTGATGTACTCAGATGGCGCAAAATTAAGTGGAGGTCACCTTTGGCTCTTCGATAGTTAGGTAGATGGATAGGTATCTCAATCCTATATGCGCCGCTTCAAATGTTCAGATGTTCGCTTCAAGGAAGCCGAGCAAACCTCCGTAACTCCGTCGCAATGTCAACCTTAGTACGGAGTATGCTGCTTTGCAATCATTAATCATTGAGGTGTGATCCGAAGTTTCAACTTCAGATCAACACGGTTCTCCGGACTTCTTCTGCACGCTTGGCCATTTCGGGTGACCGAAGAGTTGCTGTTGCTGTTGCTGGATAAGTACCCACCGCAGCCAATAGATAGTGAGCTCGAGTACACGAGGATGTTGTACATTGAGTCCTTGATCGTGAGACCTTGGCTTCAGAAGTAGCTTTGAGTTTCACAGATCTCGACAACCGTCTTTGGTCCATGATAGAGTATTTCTCACTCAATCTCATAATGTAAACATCTAATCGATTGTGTAGCGCGATAAGGCACGTCATGTCGCGTGGGTTTTGCGACCTTTGTGGTATGGACCGAACGGCTTGCCGGTGACACACTCACCATCACCAGCGCCCGTTTCTTTCGTTTTCCAAGACTTGCGGCGGGCCAATAGAGGTGTGATCGAGAGAGTCGACTTTTTTTTTTTTTTGGTGGCTTTCGTTGGAGCCCCGCCAAGCGAGCGACCAAGTCTTTGCTTGGCTAGAGGTAGCATGGCGCACCTCTGAGTTGCTCGTACATGAATGAAGCATCTCGCTGAAATGTTAAGAAGATATGCTCTCTTCTTATTAGATCCTAGTCCCTTTGGAATCTGTGTTGAGTTTGCGAGGCATGGCTGTATCGACACTGAGCCCCGGTAAAACTTTCAGGCCCGGCCTAGCCCTTGGCCTTGAGAGCAACAGACTCCGAGGCTGATTGCTGGACTGCTAGTGCAAGAAATGGGCACCTTGCAGCATGCGAGGTAATAAGGAAGCTTGGGTCGGCCATAGGCAGTCACCGCAGGGTACATTAAACTCTCGGGCTACATGTACGGATACTCGTTGCAACTCATTAGTTTGTCAGATGTCAGATGAGGATGGTGCAGGGAGAGACGTTTGCGGGCCTAGCTCTGCGGGCGCGAAAGAGTCTCGCCCGGATCCTTGAGTGGACACAATCTATTCGTAGGAACGCCGGTAACCTATTTTTAAGGTACACAGAGAGTGCTTTTGTGCGTCCCGCCAAGGCAACGGTTTGCTGGGCAATGAAAGGTGAACACGAGCAAGAGTTCGTGGACTGATTCAATCATCGTGAAGAGAGAAATGACAGCCTGTAAAGCAAGCGTAGACATAGGGCAAATGTCGAGTAATCCGGGGGATCGCCACTAGGGTGAGCGTCGACGAGCATGTGGAAGAGCATACATGTAGTCTCCAGTCGCCAGTGAAAGGGTCGTAGTAAGTGAAGTGAGTGTGGGAGGGCAATGAGTGCGTCGATCTTGGTATTCCAGGCTGTTGTCCAATTCTGTTTCCTGAATTGAACATCTCTTATATCGAGTGAGAGGAGAAGTCGAGATGGCTCAAAAGCGGGCCCAGGGCCACTCCGAGAGCCTGGGACAGATCTGGCGATCGTGATTACCAATAACTGTCAAGCGCCAACTCGGCTCAGTCCCATCCATGTCAGGCCGCTGTCGCGATATGAGTGAGTGCTCTTGTCTTCTGGAGGAGATATCCAGCAATTCCGGCTTCCTTTACATAAGGTCCAAGGTGCCCTAAGCCAGTATGGCTGGCTGGAGGTAAGCGAAGTACCGATACTTTCGTCCCCCTCCCGCTGAGTTGAGGAACGCACGCGGAGCAAGTCCGACCCCACCACTGCATTCCAGCTCGCACCTTCCATTGTGACCTTGCAGCAAGAGCAGCAGCAGCAGCAGCTTCCGTCTGGACCTCCCCCCGCCGCTCCCACCCTTCCTTCCATTCCTCTTCCCGTCTCGCGAGCCGACCTCCACTCTCTCCACTGACACCGGCCGGCGGACGTCAAGAGCCTGGCACTCCGACTCTCATCCTGGCAATTCACTTCTGCATCACAATCCTTCGCTACCGACCGCAACTTGGACACCAGTCATGTCATCTCTCCCGCTTCAGCATCCAATCAAGCAAGCCTAGAGACACTCGATGGTTATCAAACGAACATGGTACCGCCGGGTGAATCGTGATGAGCAGAGGTCGGGGGCATGCTCATGCTCATGCTGATACTCCAATAGAGAATCTGCACTTCGCCTGCCTTGTTGCCCGCAACGTCTCTCCTGGTGCAGCAGAATATCCGTACACTACCTTGCGGATATACGGGCACTTTCTCGATAACAACACCGCAGAACGACTCCTTCAACAGCTCGTGTGCTGCCCCGGAATCTGCTGTGATCAGACATGGCATGGCACCATGCAGGGTTTAGCCAAGACAGCGAGTATCCAAGCGCCTGGTGCACTCGAGCTTCTACGACCAAAATGCCCAAAAAAGCATACCCAAAACGGCACACTACGACCCTCCCGTGCCTCCCTCTACACTGACCATTGATCTCTGTGTCCCAACCCGTCCAGTATTATTCGACAGTCGCCGATCGATGGAACCTCCTGTTGGTGCCGGGGAGCCTAATTGAACCGGGGGCTCGCGCAGGAGAGTGTGTGGGTTGAAGGAATCAGTTGGGAAATCCTGGCTCGCGGCCTGCTTCTTGCCTGGCAATGAGCCAGCCTGCCGGTGCCCACCGGTTGTACCGCCGCCCTCCCGGCGGCCAGACTTTGAAAACGCCCGCTCGTCTGCGCAGTGCAGTGCTCCTATTTGTCTGTTGGCTCCCCGAAGCCTGTTCACGGAGTCTGCGAGCATATTTCCCCTCCAAGACAGGTCAGGTCAGGTCACGTACGGAGCATACCGTACGCCCTATCGAATTCCTGCCATCCTCGCTTCTTGTCGCGCAACGATGTATGATACTGCCCATCTTTCAAGGCGGACGCAGCGACCGCATCCAAGCCACGAACACGTCTGAAGCTCAACATTGGAAAAAGATATACTCCCAGAGTGGGGGTCTTTCTCGTCGACCCCTACCAACTGCAGTACGTCCTTGGGGATACCCCACCTTCGCCCACGCTGTACGCTGCGAGCCATGACGTTGGCCAGTAACCCCTGATAGAGGGGTCCCCCTCAGGGTCTCGAGTACGAGCCTACGATATGCGAGCCTGCGAGGTGCGAGGTGCGAGAGTCAGGGAGCGAGCTGGCTGCGCGATGACCTGATGCGACGAGCATCGTTGATGTCGCGTGCATTCAACATACATTCAGTCGACGCCAACGCACGCCAAGAATGCCTTCATTGTTCACCCGCACGGCATGGGGGATCGGCCACGATGCGCTGTGGACGAAGCAGTGTAACAGCAAGAAAAGGCAAGCCCCCGTCCAGCAAGTGCTGACTTGCAATGTACGATACCATGCACCCCGGGTGCGTGCGGCATCCCGCCAGCGAACTTGAAAAGCGTGCCTGTCAGGCTGCCAGAGCGAATTTGGCGCTTTTTGCCGAATAGACGACGGGCCAAGGTTAACTAACTAATACAGAAGAGATGGCTACTGATCCGTATCATATGGGACAACCATCACTCTCGGACTCGAAGGTTTTCTTATCTCGCCGCCAGACCGGCCAATGAGCTTACCACGTCATGCGAGCCACAAGCTCAGAGTTCCCCATCACGAGAGTGCCGGCAAAGTAAACGCAACTTTAGGAGAGTCAGGGCCAGGGGAGATATCTCACCGGGCACCTCGACGGGCACCTCGAATGTACCATCACCGTCTACAATGGCCACGGCAGCGGCAGGCTTATGAGTAGGGGACAGGGTTCGGGTGCTTCGTACAAGTACAGGTACAGGTACAAGCCGTCCCGCAGACCTCGTTCCCCCCCTTCTCCAACTGGAAGACGCAGACGGGGCGAGGGCACGCGAGAATGAGACTGATGGCTCATGCAACCGCGCTTGCGCCCGCAAGCCGTACGCCGGGGCCTTCTTCGCCTTCTGTTACTAGTCTGTTGCCAACCTTGCCCCCGCTATGCCGCCCGCTGCGTCCCCAAAGGCAAAAGCCAAAAACGCCCCATCCTGGGTGTGTGGACTTGCTGATACTGGGCAATTGTAGACGAGTGTTGGGGCCCCATTTGCCCATTGAGAACGGGGACCGAAGTACCTCTGCTTACGTCTTTGCGAGATGCGGTACAAGGGCTGCCGCGAAAGCCAAAGGTAAGGGTAAGCTGCCTTCTCTCTTTAACTGAGGGTGCCCAAACATGGAAGCAGACGTGGACGGACGGACTCGACATGGAACTGACCACCAACCCGACACTTCCTCTGACCCCATGAAAATAATTCCGTTCCCGTCCAGTACCAATCTGATCTGCTTCGTCTCAAACATAAACCTCACACACTCCCAATAATCTCTTTTTGCTGGACCTATTTTTGCAGCTCGCGGCTCTCAGCTCTCAGCTTTCAGCTCCCACATCCCGACCTCCGGCTGCTTCTCCCCCCCCAGAAACGGGCTCTGAGGCACGCGGTAATGCAGCCTGTATCGCCAGCGTCCTAGACGGCAGGCACGTCACCGCATTTCAGGGGGCCAGCAACTGCGCGAAGCAACCCAGGACACGCCAAAAAAAAACCCTCCAAGTGGAACATCGAGCCCGTGAGCCAGCTATACGCGGCTGACTCGACGTCTCCGCAAGGCTGAACAGCCCTCACGAGACCAACCTCTGGATTTCTGGACAACGGGCACCATGGGTCAGTGGTGGGATGCATCAAAGATTGACGCTACTGTCACGAGACAGTTCGTCTGTCAGTACCTCTTACCAGAGGAGATTGAGCGCCTTAGCCAGCCACTAGCTTTTGGTGATGGTTTGACGGATGAGACGTATTGGGACTGGATCAACAACAAGGCCAAGCGCATCTTCTTGATTCTCGTCGACCTCAAGATCCCAGATCAGATCTTCGGTATCGTCGACGACTCATGGGACGACCATGACCTGCCCATATCTTCCGAGCATGTCGAGCGGCTTAGGTTGACGGCTCAAAGGGACGACAAGATTGAGCGCAAGTTTTTTTCTCGCCAGTTCACCTATCTGCTGAAGCCCTTCCAACGAGGCGACCACGTCGTCTTTAACGAGTACGAAATTGTTCCTCTCGAGATCATCGAGCGCAGACCGGCGGGGAATACCTCAGTAGACAAGGTCGTCCTCCCCAACTGTCCCGGTACAGTCTTTTACCGACGCCGCATCCCACTCGGGAACGGGTTCGGCCAGCTCTCCAAAGGCGAGTTCGTCGAGATCATCAATAGCATCAGGGGGATCCAGAATGACCACTTGGTATCGTATTACGCTTCATACACGCAGATCGGAGCGGCATACGTCCTCTTCACACCTGCTACCGACTCCAACCTGAAGTCTTTCTTTGGCAATACGCCATCCACCTTTAAGAATCTGTCAAAGAAGGAGCGGAGACGGACGATTATGAACTGGATCCTTTGTCTTGCTGACACCCTCGCCTACCTTCATAGTAGAAGGCTATGCCACGGGAACATCAAACCTTCATCTATACTCTTCACCAGTCAGCTCCACATCTTTTACTCGGATTTCACGAGACTAAACGCCGAGGTTTTAGCCGGTTACACGGACAAGAATTCGTTTGACCGGGAGTCATACGACTACGCAGCCCCGGAACAATGGTTTCGCCCGACAGGCGGTCCAACGAGTCCTTTGGGTCGTATGGCGACGATGGCTATATCGACGTCTCCGGAGACGCACACCAACTTCTCCATCCCAAGGAGTGATAACCCGGGTAGCCCAAATGCGATGCTGAACACGCCCAACCCACATCTGAACCCGCAAGCCGCCGACATCTTCTCGCTTGGCTGTGTCATCTTGGACCTGATGAGCTTCCTCGTCAAAAAGACAACAAAAAGTTTTGCCGCACACCGTGCTGCCAAACATAAGACCCCCGGTCGTGGTGGTGCTGTGTTGGATTCGTCATTTCATAAGAACCTTGGACAGGTCGAGTCCTGGATGTCGACACTAGCAAAGGAGGCGTCAAAGAAGGTCTCCGAATCCGATGGAGGCCTCGTGTTCCGAGGCATCGTACCCTTAATGCACATTGTTGCCCGTATGCTGTCGGCGAATCCGATGGATCGACCCTCAGCTGCGGAGGTGCAAACACAAGTGTACCAGTTGTTGACCAAATACTGCGACATTAAGGAGCCTCACTGTGTTCATCAATACGGCGGCTGGGACTTTGGCATGTCGCACTTGCGCATACAGCCCATCAGCCCCAATGCCGAACTCATGCCGCAGCCTATCCGACAGAACTCAATACCGCAACTGCCGCGACGTGGCAGTGAGAGCATTGGAAGCATCAGTCCGAGAGGGTTGTCCCATTCGAGAACGAACAGCAGCGGCGGTATGTCGAATAATAGCGGGATGAGTAGTGCGGCAAGCAGCGATCAAGACCGAGACCTCGGGCCCGGGTTCACTGCTATTCGGAACATCCGGGTACCGCCGGTACGATCGCCCGGGCCGTGGGACTCGAGCCCCGGTGTCCAGGGCGGACGTAGCGACCAAGCTCCGGTGTATTGAGACACGGCGCCTCGACGCGAAGCCCGAATGTGTGGGCGAGGTACAACAGCTCATGAGCGATATTCAAACTTTTTTTTCCCCATTGTGTTGGCGCGGTCCCGATATCGATACCACACACCATACCGCCTGGGGTTTTGCATCAGAATCTTAATATGAGATAGAGAAGTGCGGGGAATGCGCGCTCGAATGGTCATGACACGAGATGTTTTGATGGTGATTTCTTTTTTTACTCTCGTCTTTGTTGCTCAGCGATACCTCTGCCGCAATTGCCCATCGCAAATGGGTCTGCATACAAAGCAAGCCCAATCATAGTCGAAAAAAAGAGAGGCCGAAATAGGAATGAAGATTCGATATTGAAATCATATACCCGTACATCTTTGTAATTGTCGAATGGTCCAATGGTGCGGGTTCCGAGCCGAGCCATGAACAGCGAGAGCCAAGGTGCTATAGGGAGGGCGGGGGCAAAAGATGGAGAAAAGAATGAATAGCGCGGGGATGGGAAACGACCGCGAGCGAGGGAGGGGACGAAGTGGTCCCTTTTTGTACGTAAGGAGCTTGCTAGCAATAGCTTTGCCCATCAATAGGGTAAATTCCGCTGATTGAATGGGCGAGAAATGGCATTATTCGTGCCACTGGTTACGTGATGGCCGTGAATTCGTCGAATGGGCAGTTTACATGACAAACGGAATTCCAAAGAGGCTTTTTTCCAGCAGGGGGGGTCTCACGGGCTGTGAGGAGGAGCGCGAGGAGTACTGTGTAAGGTAGGTAAGCGCGTAGGCGTGGTAAGGTACTAGGTTTTGAAGTGAGGCTTTCTCCCACCTTAATCCTTTTGGGGATGTTGGGGGCGATGGCGGCGGCGGCGTGCCCACGAGCTGCTGCTGCAACACTACAAAGTACGGTACTGGCTTTAACAGCAAATTGCAATGAGGTGGCTCATGTAGGTAGCAGCCTGGCACGGTCGTTGGTTCGTCTGTGGACCCCCTGAAGGACGAGAAATTTATGCAATGGGTTGATGGGAATTTCCAAGTGCTCTGTCTAAGGTATTCCGGGTACTACGAGGTGCACTGCTGCTCCTGCTCCTGCTCCTGCTCCTGCTGCTGACGCAGCTCATCCCTGCGAGGCGGATGAACCCCGCGTTTTGAAAGAGGGAAACTCAAAAGACAAACACATGCGGGGGACATTGAGTAAATGCTTTTTGACGGTTGAAATGACATGACGACCGGTTCTTTATGGGACGGCAAGGTGCCTAGTTATTCGTACAGATTAGGGTTCGGTTGTGTTCGGGTGGAATGCCACATGGTTTCTCCTGAACCTGGTATTGAGGTTTGGTGTTGTTCATGAGCTTGGGCATGATGCTCATGTGCTGCTCGCCGAGTTTGGGTTCACAGGTCGACCTACGGACATCTTGTGTGTGACTCGGTTTGTACGAACATGTTTACGTTTGTGCCTCCTTCTTTCTGTTGTTTACTTCGAAGCTTGTCTGGTCGTGTTTATTTTGTATCAACCTCCACGGAAAGGTCGTTTCCGAGTTTTTGATACAAGTTGAAGCCTGATGTCATTGACAAGTTCTCCGGGATGAACTAGGCCGAGAGGTCTTGACCACTCGACGCTGCTTGCGAGATTCGGTTAGACGTTGGGAATACATTTACTTCTTGGTAGAGACTGGCTAGGGAACTCAATGGTCCCGATTTACATAGCTGCGGTGAGCTGCCGAGAGAGATGAATCACGGGGAAGGGGGAAGCGCGCTCAATGCAATTGTTTCTTGACGGCAATGAAATCATGTACCTACCTGCATTGAGTCTATCTGAACTGATTCTTTCTGCCCTGTTTTCTGTTCAACGAAGAGTAGCGTCCCGTATGGTGACCATCTCTCACGGTTGGGTGAAGGGATTCGATGTCATGAGAGAAGTTTGGAAATGCTAGGTAAGTCCGTTTTGGCCTCGAGTGCCACCAGATTTAGGAGGATCTTCATGTTCTTACATAGACTTTAGGTAGCAGCGCTAAATTGCGACAAGTTCAGCACAACTTTCTGGAGAAGAAGGGAAACGCGTTTGCCTCAAGTCTGGCTCTATCATGGTCGTGCACATACGGGTGGTGATTCTGATGTTCTAGGTTCTCGGAAGTCGATCTGTTCTCCCGGACTAGTCACTCTAATGGTTAATTATAGCGGCTGAGAGATGCAGAAAGAACTTATTCATGCTCCAGTTGTTCAAGGTTGACACACAGTGATGATGTCAGATCTGATGTCCTCGTTAAATCTAGGCTGTCGGCTTGTATATAACTTAGAAGGTCGTCCATCTATCTCATGAGAATTACGCCAGATTCCTTGCATATGGAGATTATATATCACCGAAGAGGCTTTACAGGTCTTTACATACAATAAATTCCTGTTGTTAGTCCAGTCTCCTGTGGACTTGTACTTCTCGGGTATCTAGTTACACTTGTGAGATACGCGTTCTATAACCTTTCCAGAAGGACCGAATACAATCCCGCCTGCCAGATCAAATGACTATTCGTTACAATCGTAAGAGGGGATCCTTGGAACGGACGGCATGGGAAGAGAATGCTGCTAGAGACCCAACCCAATCAGCCTATCCAAAGACGACATGTCTGTATTCGACCCCGAACTCCGTCTTCGACACGACCGGCAAGATCGAAACATGGTGACTACTTGAACCAATCTGTTTCACGCCAGCGTGGGGCTCGTCATCTTCCGATATCAAAATTCACAAAGATCTCATCATGCGGCTGTTATATCTGTTGATGTATCAAGAAGTGAGCCGTCTGTTGCTCCTCGCGACAGCGTAAGTAATACACCCATGAGAGGGTTTCAGTTCCCGATCATGAGCTCAGCTTGCTATATGACGCCGTGAGAAGTTTTTCTCTTCAAATTCCAGTCTCTCACGCGGCGAAGCATTCAACAGTTATAGCAAGTGAACCCTTCTTGGCTTGGTTCTGCCCAACGTTCATTCCGGACGTACGATGGCGGGTCTTCGACGACGTCAACATCCTCGACAGACCCCTTTGAGTGGTTCTCTGGCAAGCATTGCTTGTTGATGAGCGAAAAGTAAACATTCGCCCCGATAGACAGTATGATGATCTACAAGAGAAAATCGGTGAAGGTTGCTCCGTGGAAGACATACTCTTAGCCCCGTCTAGCTACCTCATCATCTAGATCATGCTATAAACTTCCTTGGAAATTCCGGCCCACTGCCGTTGATGGATACTCATGCGAACACCGTAAGGGCCCTCGAGAAAGTGGTAACATCTTACTTTACTGTCTTCTTCAATGTCAAGATAGCGGAGTTGCACGAAAGGTAGAGGGAATGAGCGGTTGGCACAAAGAGTTTTCTCCGAAACTGGCCCGTTCGAGGTGAGACTTGTCCAAATCTGACCTGCTGGGGCAGGCGGTTGTTCTGGTCTCCTCAGTTCACAATTCATTGCTACCCAATGAGTTTTTGGTGGTACAGGAGGAGCATGCCTACGACTCCTGGCTTGTTCAGAGAGCTCTACTGTTCTCCTTGGTTCATCGTTGCCGCGGAGTCTCATAGAGAGGATCAAAATAATGAAGACACCGCAAGGCTGCTGAAGGAATCCCTCCATCGTAGGGTTCTTGAGGCGGCGGATGTCCAGGAATCTTTAACTTTCCATAAAGAATCCATGAGGGAACGCTTGTAGGTCGAGTTGACGGAGCAGCGCATATTTCGGACAACGTCGAAGCGAGAAAAGGTGACGGAACACCCAATAAGCAGGTTCATTGCCTTCTAGAATTGAGGTAGAAGGGGATATGTCATCGTTGATATCTATGTAAGAACACCTAGGACAGTCATCGACAAATTCCATCGCAAAAGCAGACCGGTCAATGCTGACCGTTCAAGGTTCATAGTCACACGAGCTGATCAGTAGCTTTCCTCTGCAACTGGGCTCATCTCAATGTCTGTCACATCTGTACTCGATGTACGATCTGAAAAGAGGAAGCGCCAGGTAAAGTTCACACCGTGCCATGACTGAGAACTTCGACGGACCTACACCGTACAGTACGGGCGGTTGATGCACAATCGCCAAGTCTGCGATGAATCTGTACCCGCCCTCCCTGCGGACTAGGAGAAACCAAAGATCGGTACACTTTAGACATCTGCCCTAACCTTGTTCAATGTCTCTAGAACTGTTTTAAAGTGCCCTTCCGAGGTCCAATATATGAAAATAAGAGACCTTACGGCAAGGGCCGACAGCGGCAGAGAAGGGATAACGACCAGTGCTTTTCCGTCAACTACGAACCAGAACCACGTTGCACAGGCGTCACATCTTCTCCCTGGCGACCTACTCAAGACGAACGAAGAAAAAAAAGTTCAAGGCCACAGCCGGGAACCACCCCAAATAACTCTGCTGCGACCACTTGGTGGCTTTGCGGGAAGCAGACGTCAACCCCCGTTTCGCGTTGCCGCTGAACCAGGGGAGGGGCAGTTCGATGCTCGACTACCTAGGTGGGTAGGCAGACTCGCAAGTTGCAACCTCAGAGTTGCAGCTGGGATTCGTCGCTTGTTGGTGGGCATGGCATGGCATGCGGGGACCGGAGGTGGAGGTGGGTTGAGGATCTACTCCGTACCTCTCTGGAACATGCCGAATGCGCAGGCTTCCATGTTGCATTTGGGCGAGCGACACGGCGAGAGAGACATACCCGAGGTTTTTGCTTCGCATAGTGTGCTTGATGGCTGCATTTGGCTTCACCTTGGAAGGTGGCCGGGGAAAGGCGTGGCCGCCACGTCTTCGGGTCAACGCGCCGAAGCCGTCTCAAAACTGAACTCGTCGGTGTAGAACTGGCCGACTACGGTAGCTTAGCTCCCCGCACCATTGGCTTCTCTTGTCGTCTTTCTGGACGAGGTGCGAGGAGAAAAGCCAAGCGATTCGAGTGCCGAGCGATGGGATGGGATTCTGAGAGGCTAACCTAGCCTTATTCTGGAAGTGAGGTGTTACTGCCCTTATCTTCGCCCAAACCGGGAGAGCAGATCGCCCATCGTTTTTTTGATGGGCGCGCGGCGTTTGCTTGGCAACTGGTTTGCGCGTTAGACCCTTACTATTCCCCGCTGGCCTCGTTGTCTGCCCATCAGATGCTGATGGCTCTCAAGTGTCGAGCAGCAACACCCCGCCTTCGTCAATCTGTACGGAAACTCCGTATGGGTACTTGAGCTGCCAATAACTTTCACGGATACCGCGGAGGCAGGCGGGGGAAACTCAGGTTGAGCTTGTTGATGGAGCGACGAGGGGGTTTCCTTTCATGTTTCAGCCCATGCAGAGTGCCGGCCAGAAGGGAGCTTTTGTGCTGCTTGCAAACAAATGTTCTGACAACTTTCCAAACGAGATGGAAAGGCCATGGTGTGATTATCGACAGTGGTATCAAATGCATGTCTCACTGAGACGGTCAGTTGCTGGAGCCTCGTCGCCATGGCAGATTTCTTCATCGACAAACCCATTTTATCGCCGCGATACAAACAAGAAAGCTCCTATGGGCTTCGCATTGCTTTATTTCGTCGTGTTGTCATTGTTGGATGAGCAACACGCGGCGGGGTGCGCCGCAAGTGAATGCAAACGTTTACACTTGATGCAGCTGACAGCCCATTGCATCAACTCTCTGCGGCATGCCACCTTCTTCAATGCTACGACGCACCACTTGCGACGGGCAATGGCAGAGAAGATGCGGCCAAGAGGCTCCTCGGAGGGATCCAACGACGGATTCGCCCAGGATGTCAAGGTGCCGTAATGCAACGAAGCTGACACCTGGGTCCACAGGTGACATCAATTCGCTCTCTTTTTGCTGCGGACTCTCTCCCTGACTCCCTGCTCTTCAGATCAGTGGGCTCGCGGTCAAGGTGTTCCTCGAACGAAACGGAAGCCCGAGTTTTCACATCTTTTTTTGCAGTGGCCGTTGCAACCCTCGCCGGATAAGGTCCACAAGCAGTGAACGGGACCGGGGGTTAAGCTTACCCTGGTTCGTGTCAACGATTGCCTGACTGCAGGGCCAAGAGGGATTTTCAATGAGACGCTGCGATCAGAGTGTTGCGTCATACTCATTATCCGGAAGCCATTATTACTAGGCCACCTTTTCCTGCCGTGTAGCCGCCCTCGACTTTGGGGGCTGTTGAATACACCACGAACAGGAAATGAAGACGGGAAAAAGGCCAATTTCCAGCCGCACCCTGTTGGATGACCATCGCTAATCTGGAGAGGTATCCCCGCAAGGTGGTCTAGGCAAGCCGGCGAAGAAGCAGAGGACATTAAGCAAGTAAATCGCGTCGAGGCTAGCCGTGGTGAGCTTTGGGGGGGGGGGGCAGGACGGAGCTTTCGCCGTTGCGTCGAAAGCTTGATGGGCAAGGACCAGCTTAATCCCTGGCACAAGTCGTCGCAATTGGTAAGAGGCATCCAACTTGAAGATGGCAGAGGCGAGGCCAGGCATTGTGGCGAGTTGAATGCCTCGCTGTCGCCGTCCTCGTTCGTCGTTGGCTGCGTTCTGCCGGAGCACTAAATCTCTGGCTGACAGCCTAGTATTAGCAGCCACCCATCAGCCAGAATAGCTCGGTCCGTTTCCCGGGTGCCCGACTCGTGTTCGAGTGGACGTGTGGCTACGCGAGGCTAGTGAGAGGCGACGAAAAGTGGCGGGCTATTTTATCAGATTGGGACAGCAAAGAAGCTGGTCTGGTTGGGCAGGCGTCAAAGACGGCGTGGCTTCGGGTGGATGGCGCCATGTTGTTTGTAGCCGTGGGGGCAAAAGAAAGAAACGACGGCCAAGTTTGCTTTTGTGTCTTCATTGTCTGTAGTCTGGAGATTGAAACAAGGGCAGAGAGTCTAGGAGTAGTACCCGCAACTCCGTGCCGACCTTGTGAGGTTATTTCCCTGATCGATTGAGTGAGGGGATATGCTTGTGTATCTGTAATTGTTGTGGACTCTGGAGGGCGGAGAGCGGGAGGGATCGAAGGATTCCGATGAGAATCATCAGCCCTGGAGGAGAGATGTCATAGCTGTCAACCAAGACCAAGAAAAGACGCGTCGGCGTCTTGTAAACTCAGCCTGCTTACTGGGTGACTCCTCCTCTGGTGTTGCGTCTTGCATCACCCACCCGCGTTGCCCCCAATGAGGCCGACCAACGCCGCCGGTCTCTCTGCAGCAGGCAGTCCATGTCGAGTCGGTTGTGTGTCGAGTGAGAAAGGCCAGGGTGTTGAGGCCAGTCAGAGTCAAGACTTTTGTGACTCTGGAGCCTCTGGACCACTCTTGGGCCGGGCGACAATCAAGATAGGCCGTCTTCACCCCTGGCCCGCCGCCAATGGCACAACATGGCGCACCTCCATTGATCCAGACCCATGCAGTCGGCCTTGTTGCTTCAAGCTTGATCTCCTGGTTCGTTTTTTTTTTTCCCTCGTTGCGCACCTAACGCACCCCTGCCGCCGTCGTTTCCCACCCTAGACCGGGCTCCGTGGCTCCTTGCTAGCACCAGAGCGAGCTCCAAGCTTCTCGTCCTAGGCAGTTTTCTCATCCGTTTGGTACTCCACGTGTGTGGAGAGGTGGGATGGGATTCCAAAAAGAGCAAGAGAGGAACGTTGTTACTTGTAAGAACGCCAGCAGGGGTAAAGAAAAGAGAGGGAAAAAACTGCAGTCTGCAGGGCCTTGTTGTTCGGAGTGTCTCCCGTGTTGAGCTGCAGTAGCAAAGCTGGAACAATAAAATCGATAGCTTCCCTCCCCATCCCCCAAGCAAGGCGTTCCCGTCATCCTGAGGTGAGGCTGTTGCTTATCCACGATATTCGACGCCAGGCAAAGTCTCTTTCCTTCCACCTCGTCTGACGGCCTTCAACACGGTTGCTGCCCTGTTTGAATCTTTCTGTCATTTTCGCCAAGAACGGACGTTGTTTGCGGAGTGAGAGTGTCGCCTTGTACGACGTTGTAATCGCGAGAGAAGGAATTGGTTGCGGTTGGTGCAGGACGAGTACTCGACCAGATCGAAGGAAGGAACACGACAACTTGGGAAGACCTGCAAAAAAGAGGCAACCACGGCCAACAGTCATTACTTTCTCCGCCTGGCAAAAACACCTGCTCAGTTCAGCATCCGCCCTACTGAGGTGTCCCTCGCCATTAGTTCGAAATCTTTCGTCGACACGAGCTACAGCCAACAACTCTCGATCCTCAACATCATCAACAGACTCTTGGTCGTATTTCTTTCTTCTTCTTGGCTTTCTTGGGAACCGCAGCACTAAGGCATCAGCATTCTCACCATTCGTCGCATCCTCACCCATTGCTGTATTTGCTAGTTGAAGCTTATCAGAAGGATTTTCTTGCGATTACTCCTTCATCATGCGAGTCTCCAAGCTCGTCTCGGCATTATTGCTTGGCACTGCCGCAGCCCTTGCACCAATCGAGATTGTAGGCAGTAAATTCTTCGACGAGAGCGGCAAGCAATGGTTCATGAAAGGTACGCCAATCATCCACTGCATTTCTGGCTAGAATCCTTGGGACTGACGCAATCACAGGCATCGCATACCAACTGACACCAGGTTAGCCCAGTCTGTCTGAATGCACACTTACAAAGTCCGCTGTCTAACACAAAAGCTCGTCCAGATGACCCACTGGTTGATACTGATCAATGCACCCGCGACGCCAACCTCATGAAGACGCTGGGTACCAACGCAATCCGCGTTTACCACGTCGATTCCAGTGCAAATCATGACGGGTGCATGTCTGCCTTTGACAAGGCCGGCATATACACCCTCATCGACTTGGACACCTTTGACTCGTACATTCTTCCTGTTGGTGCCCCCCTGTTCTGTCCTATATCCAGCTCGCGTGCTTTGGCTTACAAGAGGTACAGAATACTCCCTACTGGAACGAGACGCAGTTCAACGCGTACGCCAAAGTAATGGACAACTTTGCGAAATACGACAACGTTCTCGGCTTCTTCATTGGCAATGAGATCATTGCACTTCCCACTCAGTCCCAGGTCGCCCCTTTCATGAAGGCTGCCGCACGAGACATGAAGGCCTACCGCGACAAGAAGGGTTATCGCAAGATTCCCGTCGGCTACTCCGCGGCAGATATCGCTGAGTTGCGGCCCATGCTCCAGGACTACCTGACCTGTGGCGGAAAGCCAGAGGACAACATTGACTTTTTTGGACTCAACTCGTACGAGTGGTGCGACCCAAACACGTACGAGACCTCGGGATACACAAACCTGCAAGCCATGGCCGAGAAGTTTCCTGTGCCCATCTTCTTCACGGAAACGGGATGCATCACAGGTCAAGGCCCGCGTACATGGGACGACCAGAACGCCATCTTCAGCCAGCCCATGGTTAATGACTGGAGTGGAGCCATGGTTTACGAATGGATTTACGAGGAGAACCGATATGGCATTGTGTCATACGGACCCGAAGTCTCCAAGACTATCACCGCTGACGACGTGTACGATGGCTTTACCCGCAAGGGCACTCCAACCCCCAGAGCCCCAGAGTTCCAGAATCTGCAAGCCAAATGGGCCACCATCACTCCTTCAGGAGTCGCGAAATCCAACTACAATCCGACAAGCGTCTCTACCCGCGATTGTCCCAAAGCCACGGGGGGTTGGTTGGTGGACGGGAACGTCCGTCTGCCTACTCTCGGAGAGACGTTCAAGGGCAGCTTTTCTTCGAGCCCGACAGGATCAGTGACTTCGGGCTCAAGCACCAGCGCTTCCGCAGCGCCCACACAATCCGCTGAGTCCTCGGCACCCGAGAGACCTTCGGGATCTGGCACCAAGCAAATCGCCGGTATGGCTGTTGGATTGGTTGGTGTCATGATCTTCTTCACTGTGTGGATGTAATTGGTCACGAAAATTTTTCTTCTTCTGTACATTTTGTGCATTCACTATTACGACGGATTGGATTATGGATTATACCCCTTTTGCGAATACACGGAAGCTTCGTATTGAAGCAGGGCATTTTTCAAGGCGTTGATGGCAAGAGGACGAGCGTACGGAGACTCGTTTCTAGACTTGCAAATGGTTTGGTCAACTTTGCTCCATATTTGCTGAGTCAAAAGGGTGGTCTTCCAGGAGGGAGAATCGTCACCAAGGATTCCTCGAAAGTCGTTTCCTTGGAGAAGATGACGATGGAGATGGATTAATTAATAATACCCTGTCAGAGGACAACATGGAGAGGCCCTCCTAGGAGACCTTGAGTTACGATGATGGCAAGAGCCTCTCCGAATACAATAGACACCAATTTTCGATGTAAACGCCCGTTTCCTTCCACACATGTTGACGTTCTGCTGTCGGCGGACTTACATCCATTGCAACTGCCTTGACGAGCTGCTGCTATACCATCTGCTGCGGGAAATCAATTTGCAATCTGTCGCCCCTGCGACTACCATAAAGCTTTCATTCTCAAGAGGAAGGAGAGTCTGGTGGTCTCAGAATTCAGACTGAGGAAGCCTCTCTGAAACTGACCTCCGTCATGGGAATCTTCGCATCTTCCACTCGGCATTGCACTATCATCTAGGCCGTTTGAGCTAACGAAGTACGCCATATCTCAATCATCAACATCCTTCAACGAACAACATTCCCCAAGAAATCAACGGACTCCAACTTTCAACCAGCAGCATCGGTATCGGCACCATGCCCTGCTTCTTCTTTCAGTATGGCAACCCTCCTCCCGAGACTACTCACAGGCACGCTCCCAGAGAAATGACGCATCACGAACCCGACCATCATCATAAAGCGGCCAAATCACACGTCCGTGCCGTCCACTTGCCGAGATGGT